ACAACCCAATATAAATGAAGTGGGCTGCTATTTATAGTTGCCTTAAATGTGACACTGTTCAGGCACTGTTCATCAGTCTTGTCGTACAGTGTTTCTTGCAGAGAAGTTCGGCGCCTCCCTGACAGAATTTAATGCGATTTGAGGTTTTCCTCATCATTGTCTGGCAGGCATTTAATGCTGGCAGACTTTATGTCTTGGCTAGGGGGGGTAGGTCAACAGGCTAGGATGTCCCATCCATCAGCCAATGATTACCCTCCAAGTGGCATTGTTATACTATTATTCAGATCGGCATCCGTCCTGAGATCTCAGGACGGCTCCTATTTCCATTTCGCTTCCTTGGTGATGGCGGATTCCTTTCTAACTCGTCACTCACCAGACCGGCACCAGCCCCCTACAACGGTCAAACGCCGAGTTGGAGGACGGGTCCGTCGGAGCGTCAAGGTCAACAAATTTTGGAGTCGAGCTCGGCACTTTTACACCAGGTCAGGTTTCCGGTTCGGTTTTCGAAACTGTGTTGTCTGGTCCGGTCTTATGGGCGAACTCGGATGTCAACAGATATATAATTGCATTTCGACCGTGAACTTCACGTTTCGAATAAATGGGCGACTCGTGGGAAATGTCAGACCTTCTCACGGCCTTCGATAGGACTGCTCACTATCTGCATATCTTGTTATTCTTTGTGCAGAAGGGTTATCGGCGTCTCTTATCAAAGCGGAAATGGACAAATCTCTCTCGGGTTTCAAATGTAGCAGACTCAGACCATCGATCTCCCATCTTTTATTTGCAGACGACTCCATCATTTTCTCAAAGGCTAATTCAGGGGAGATATCGACCATTGTCCACATATTGAGACTCTATGAAGCAGCTTTGGGTCAAAAGGTCAACTTAGAGAAAACGGCGATTTCTTTTACTCCCAATACACATTCGAATGTGCGTCGAGATTTATGCTCGACTTTGGGAATCCATGTTCCTGTCTCTCACACTACTTATTTGGGTCTCCCATCTCTGATTGGCAGAAACAAAAGTCGAACCTTTGCGACTATTCGGGAGAAAATTTGGAAGCGACTCCACTCTTGGCGATGTAATCTTTTTTCGTCGGTGGGGCGTGAAATACAAATCAAAACGGTGGTGCAATCTATCCCTACTTATATTATGAGCCTATTTCGGATCCCAAAGTCGATTTGCGACCAAGTGAAGAAAACAGTTGCCCAATTTTGGTGGGGGTCCCGAGAGGGTGAACAAAAACTTTCGTGGGTGAAATGGAGCAGGCTTACTTTATGAAAGGCACAAGACGGTTTGGGTTTCCGAGACTTCAGTATATTTAACCAAGCTCTACTGGGGAAACAAGCCTGGCGAGTGTTATCATCTCCAGACTCTCTAGTGTCGAGAGTTCTCAAAGCTAAGTATTTTCCTTCGTGTCAGTTCCTAGAGGCAACAGTTCGACCGGGTTCCTCTTTCATCTGGAGAAGTCTATTGTGGGGTCGTGAAGTTATTCAGGCCGGAATGCGATGAAGAGTAGGGGACGGTAAATCAATCAGGGTGTTCTCAGACCCTTGGATTCCCCACTTCCAGGGATTTAAACCTATCTCTCGCAATTCGGCAGGCATTGACAGAGTTAGCGATCTCGTTGGGAGGAATGGAGAGTGGAATCACGATATGATTAACCGAGCTTTCTTACCGACAGAGTCACTCAAAATATTCTCAAGTCCTATTAGCCTGTCTGATAACCCTGATCGATCATTTGGCATCATTCAGAAAATGGGGAGTACAGTGAAGAGTGGCTACCATATGCTAAAGGAACAATCAACAGGCCCCCTGGAATCTTCTTCATCTTAAAAAAATGGGTGGTGGAATGCTTTGTGGAAATTGAATATTTTACCAAAGATTAAAATGTTTCTTTGGAAGCTGAGCAACTCGGCAATTCCTTCTTCGGAAAATCTTGCTAGAAGGCATATCGGGGTTATTGCAAAGTGTCCAAGATGCTCGGGCGGGGAATCCAATGTTCATAGTACCTTCGTTATATAAGTCATCATAAAGATATTACTCTCGTTATAGGTATAGTTTTAGTCATTTGCAATGTAAAATAACGAATGTACAATGATTCTATCCATTTCCAAAAAAAAAAAAAATATTCTTATTTACAAAATGAGTTTCGTTATGAGTGTTTCGAAGGTATAACGACTTTGAACTATCATTTCAATGTCAAATATAACCAAGATACAATATTTAACACGCCATGCTATCAAAAAAACCATAACGAGAGCACGTTCGTTATGATTTTTAATATAACGAATGTACATTCGTTATTTCATACATCATAATGAATGTACATTCGTTATGGTTATTTTTCGATCAAGTACACCTATAACGATTGTACCTTTGTTATCACTATAAATATATTACTCTCGTTATAAGTATACTTTTAGTCATTTTTAATGTAAAATAACGAATGTACAACGATTCCACATTATCTTTCCATTTCCAAAACAAAGCAAGCATCGTTATTTCCAAAAATGGGTTTCATTATGAGTATTTCGACACTATAACGGGTCTAAATTATCGTTCCAATGTGATATATAACCAAGATACAATCGTTAACACGTCATTCGTTCAAAAAAACCATAACGCGAGTATGTTTGTTATGATTTTCAACATAACGAATGTACATTATTTATTTCATACATCATAACGATTGTACATTCGTTATATAAACATCATCTAGAAAAATGAAAAAAAAATACGTGAATGGCACAAGAAACATGATAAATATGAAACCAACATGCTTATCAATCATAAAATATGAACCAAAATGTTTATCAAAGTAAAATATTTATCTCTAAAATAATCACTAAAGGTGATAATGCTTGATTTTGTTGTTCTTCCACCATCACCACATTTGTTTTGCAATATGGAATCCAAAATTATCATCACATTTTGTTCGCAAATTGTCAAGAGAAAGACGATGAAGCTGCTGAAGAGAGAGGCGAGACGCAGTGTACGTGCTTCTTCTATGAATCTTTTTTTTTTTTAATTTTATTTATAACACAAAATAAAAGAAGGCTATTAGAGTCATTTACTCTCCAAGGATATTTTAGGTATTTCATTTATTCATTTATCTTTTATTTAGTGAAGGGTCATTTAAAAAAATTTATTGAGAGGGTCATTTAAATAAAATATTGCTTTGACCCTCCCTTTTAAATAAAGCCCCTGATGAAAACCCTAATTGTACATTCACTTTTTCACATTCCCCTTTTCTCAGATAATGAAAATCTTTCCCCTTGTCTTCTTCACCACATCTCTTCTTCAGTTTATTTAGAACTTTACAACAATCTAATAACAATGATAATTAGAATCAATAATTTTAATTATCTTATCATAAAATTAATTTTGACCAATAAGACCATCTCCAACCGAATACTCCATACTCAAACTCATTTTGCAGTAACTATCTCATTTTGCAGTAATTCATCTCCAATCGAAAAACTCATTCTTCAACCCAAAAGAATATTCTCGAAATATTCTCTTTTACATCAACTTTTACAACTTTTAAATACTACCCACATATTTTACAATTTTACAAATTAAACCACACTATTATTTCCAATTCAATTTGGACTTTATGTAATAAACTAAGGTCATCTCCAGCCCTTATCTCTACTCTAGCGCGGACTTTACTCTACTCTAGAGTAGAGTTGAACATTCATCTCCAGCCCTTATCTCTATATTTTACTCTACATCAAATATATATTTTATTTATTTATTTTAAAAATGAATTGTAATAAATTGAATTTCTTAAAGAAGATACATATACATCTATGTACCGATTCAAAACTGTTACTTTTGAAAATATATGAATTAGTGCAAATTTACACACTAGACCATATATAGTTTAGACCATATATGAATTAGTGTAAACTTACACACTAGACCATATATGGTTTAGACCATATATGAATTAGTGTAAATTTACACACTAGACCATATATGGTTTAGAGCATAAAAAAACAAAAAATTATTCATAGTCATATTATTTGTCAAACTATTTATCACATATTAATATATTACACAATTTGCTCTATCATAAATAATTTTTCAGTATTTTTAAAAAAATATCAACTTTATGCCTACACAAAATATTTATATATATAAATATATATATTTTGTTCATTATTTTTCATACATTTATATTAAAATTTTATATAAAAAATTTCATTAATGAATTTTTACATACTTATATTATAATTTTATATAGAAAAATAACAACTTATAGACAAACCATAAATTTTGATAAATAAACTAAAACTTCATTTTTGAAAATAGAAGGGCCAAAACACAAATAAAAAAAGATTTGCGTATGTGAACAGTACAAACGCAAATATGCAGTTTGGAGGAGAGAGAAACGGATCAAAACTCATTTTGGGTTTCCGTTTCGGTACCGGTTGAAGGATTTTTTGGTGATGCGTTTGAGTTTGAGGTACGATTGGAGTTGCTCTAAGAATGGAACAAGTGTTCCATTCTTTCATCTCACCCAAGGTTACAATGTGACTTGGTTCACGAGTTTTTGGTAACTTTTTTTTTTATTATTATTTTTTATACCTCTTGGGGAAGGTCATGGATAAAGAGAACCTAAGGTTGCACTTTGATATAAAAAAAATATTCTTTTCGTTTATTTACTAAAGACTTATCACACTGAAACTAATGATGACATTATTTACAAAAAAATAAAAAAAATACCATTCATAGTTTCTCTTCAAATTCATTATCAATATTAAAAAAATATTAATCAATAATTATCAATTTTTTAATTAATACTATATTATCTGTCTTCTATATTTTTTTTTCATCTCAACTTTCATGAGTCAGAAATTTATGGAAATTTTTTATACGAATAAAAAAAAAATTATCTCGCCTTTTATTTTCCCCGCACGTACGTGTGTATACAAAATTACAGAAATAAGAAATTCAAAATCATAAAATAAAGATTTATTTTTATTATCAGACGAAAGGGCTTACATTACACCAGATGCTTTCAGTTTTCTAATGGCATCGTTTATGGCGGACCAGTCAGGGACGAGCAGATTTTCCAATTTCCACCACCTCAATGCTTAGCCGCCGGCGTGTCCTGTCACTATATAGGCTTAAATTGGCCTCAACCGCTTACTCCGGCGAGGAAAACCTAGGTCGGGTCGGAACATACCAAAACAGCTAGAGTTTCTTATTTTATTTTTTGTAGCTGACGCTTAATGCTTAATGTTAATGTTACTGTTCATTTTTTTCTGTGTTATCTCTCTACCACCTTGTGTTCATGGCAATTTTTTTCCTTTGTTTGTTAGCGTCTCCTTTTTATGTCGCCATTAGTCTACCGAGTCTCATTTGTCTGCATTTAAGGACTTCTCGCAGGTTTAGACAATTTTACTTATATTGTTCTGGATTGAACAAATTTGCGACAGTGTAGAATGTAACTTGTGTTAGTTCGAGAAGCTTTTCTGTTTGACGTTCATTTTGATTTTGCTCATTTTTATGTTTGTCTTGAAAAATCATGAGAAGTGTAGAGTATACTCTGATTAATCTCTCTTACCGTTCATAGGGTTGACTTAATATATCGACTGAGTTTGCAATAGCTTTTCCGTAATAGCTAAGAAATATGTTCAGGTATTGGCGTAAGCATTACATCGTATGGACTCCAGCAGTTGACAATTGCCACTCAAAAGGGAGTTAATGTTGTAATAAACAGAAAATTCATGGAATCAAAGAAGAACTTTCCCCTTACCGCAAACGATTACGAGTTGTATGAGGAAATTGGAGAAGGCGCCTGTGCTACTGTATATAGAGCTCTTTGTATACCTCTGAACGAGACTGTTGCAATCAAGGTCCTTGATTTCGAGAAATGTGATAATGACTTGGTAAGTTACTCTATTCCCATTGTGCTGATTTGGACAAAAAAGCATTTTTTTTTTTTCCCCGTAAACTTTCGTTTGCCGAAACTCAGCTGAAAAGTTAACTTGTTCGCTGCTCCTAGTGCCACGTAGAATCTTTTGGGTTTATCCGCACTTTTTTAAATGCTTGACTCGCAATGGGCACTATCCGTTCAGTATTCACTCAAGTCTGTTTGAATCATGAAGTTGTCGATATTTGTTACGGAGACTTGCTTTTTCTTAAAACATTGTATCTTGTTAGAACACGTACTTTCAATTGCACATCTTATTTCAATTCTTATTTTTGTAGTCTTTATGATCGGTACGTAAAATGAACAGGATGGTATCGGGCAACAGGTACAAACGAGGATTTTGATTGATCATCCAAATGTCTTGCGGGCTTACTGCTCCTTCACCACTGGCCATAATCTATGGGTGGTGATGCCTTTCATGGCTGGGGGATCTTGCCTTCATATTCTGAAGACATCTTTTCCAAAAGGTTTTGAGGAGGCCGTTATTGCAACATTATTACGTGAAGTTCTTAAAGCTCTGGTGTATTTTCATGCCCACAGACATATCCACAGAGACGTGAAAGTATGAGTGTCTCACTTATGTTTCTTACTTTTGAATAAACGCCGTAGGCTATTTTATTCGTTCTCTAAAGTAGATCAATGTAGAATCACTTGCCAGTTTAATAATCTGTCAGCCATCTCAATATTTTAGCTTTATTTTTTTGTTATATGAAATATCCATTTGACATTTGGGCAACTCGATTCTTTTCTCAGTGTTCATGAAATAATGTGTCTTATGTAATGTTTGGTAGTTGGTTGATGTAGTTTTATCCTTCCAACCACTCATCCTACTTTAACTTTGGCCAAGCCATAATTACTTTTTATTCTATTTCTTTGTTACATATTGCAGGCTGGGAACATCCTGATTGATTCTGACGGTAGTGTTAAATTAGGAGACTTTGGAATTGCTGCATGTATGTTTGATACCAGTGATCGTCAGCCATCAAGAAATACATTTGTCGGTACCCAATGCTGGTATTTTATTTATTTATTTATTTATTTTTACAGTAAAAATATTTTGGCTTGAAGACATATTTACTCTCAGTATGGATTTTTATATTACAAAGATATTCTTTTTTCTTTAGACTTATCTTTATTAACAGGATGGCTCCTGAAGTCATGCTGCAGCAAGTGCGTGGATATGATTTTAAGTGAGAATTTGTTTTAAAGGTTTTACTGCTTGTATTTCTTCTTTCTCCTTGTATTTCTTAATTTTTATGATTGCTTTCTCAGGGCAGATATCTGGTCATTTGGAATAACAGCGCTTGAGCTTGCTCATGGTCATGCACCATTCTCCAAGTACCCTCCAATGAAGGTTCCATATATCTCCTGTTCTTATCTTATTTCTGATTCTTAGGAATGTTTGTGGCCCGAGCATTCTTACATTAAGTTAAATGCAGGTTCTGCTGACGACCCTTCAAAATGATCCTCCAGGGCTGGATTACGAAAGAGAGAAAAGATTCTCAAAGGTTAATCTGTTTTCCGGAGAATCTTACTTCTTTATCATGTATATTGTTGCTGATATAAGATAATTTGCAGTCTTTCAGAGAAATGATTGCTTCGTGCTTGGTAAAGGATCCCGAAAAGCGCCTCACCTCAGAAAAGCTTTTGAAGCTCCCCTTTTTCAAGAATGCTCGCTCAAGTGATTATTTGTCACATACTATCCTTGATAGCTTGTCCCGACTTGGTGAAAGCTTTAGGACGCTTAAGGTATGTTCCTCACTTCCTCATCTTATTCATTTTTTTTGCCTTTATTTTACCAAATTGGCATTTTGCTTCAGTCATTTAATTACTTTTGTAAGAATTTTAATGCTAAACCTAATTTTCAGGCTAAAGAAAAGGACATTCTTGTTCAAGATAAGGAATTATGTAAGGATAAAGAGCATCTATCACAGGTGAGGAATCAACCAAGACAGCATTGCATGTATTCAGAAAGAGAAATAGGCTTATTTAGAATCTAATATCTCAATATTTGTTCTGTTATGCATCTGAAACAAATGATTCATCATTAAGATCAACAAATTTTCACTCTCTATCGGTCTTCATTGCTTATTTATTGTTTGCAATTGCCTACAAGATCCAAACTGTAAAAATGCTGAACGTGCATGCACACATTATTCCAAAATTAAAATAATGTCAGAAAATATCACCATTTTCTTACAAGAGCCATCCTTAAAATGCTCGGTTGCTGTGTCCAGCAAGAGTATATTCGAGGAATCAGTGCCTGGAACTTTAATTTGGAGGATCTGAAGAATCGAGTCGCCCATGTAAGCCTACTATCCATTGTTCAATTGCGTAATGTATCAGATTTTATAAATGCCAGATTCATTAGTAGTTATTCGCAGATTCAAGATGATCTCATTTCAAATTCAGAAGATTCAAGTGTGAGTGGGAAGCAAATTGACGCACAAGATGATATCGGGTTTACTATGAATAGAGTGTATCCCGAGCGAGTTAATCATTTTAATGCTGCTTCTCAATTGGAAGTATGTTTTCTAAAGTGAAAAATCATGTCATTAATATTTAATCATGTACGTATATATCTATATATAGGATATGGATTAAATGAGAACTCTTCACTGTTGTGGGAACTAGGAAATGATCTGATTCGTTGAAGTGGATTAGATGGAAGATACGAGTGGAATACAATGTATAGTTTTATTATAATTCATATATGGGCGCACATATATGGCGAGTACCTACATTCGCCCACGTGCATTTATTATCCACAAAAAAAAAAAGAAAAAATTATTATCTTTTGTATGTTGCCTCATTCTCTCTCGGGTTTCCTTGATTATCTGTTTCTTATTTTCTGTAGGATGAGCTAAATGATATCAATGACTTGGATCCTTCTGTTGCTTCATTTCCTAGTAAACCTCTTCAGGCTCTAAAGTATGTCATAAATTCCATGACCTATTTTACCTTTCTGTTCTGCTTCTTGGTGTCAATAACGATTTATCTTCGTTTCTTTTTTCCAGCCCTTTTCCTTGTCTTCTCATTTCTCTCTCTATTTTTTTTTTTCTGCTTTCTCTAACTCCACAAATGTTCACCTGACTTCTGATGACAGGGACAACAAATGCATGGACCTTATGAGAATCGCGAAATCTCTTGAAGCTGATAACCAAATCAGTTATGATCGAGAACGCCCCAGCAAACATAGACGATGCGTACCTCTCAGGTGTAACAACTTGTTTCAAAGACTTGTTGACATTTACTCTCGCCTGTTCCTAATCCACTACCCGGAGTTCAAGCTCATCGTCGAGGCTCACTCTGGTCAACCGAACATCTCATCGGTCAATGGTGCAAAGTCCGCCGCAACCGCGCTCGTCTCCGCCTGGTTTTGGGACTTATACGTTTCGCTTCGAAAATCAGTTCAGTCAGTCTCTGGTTCTGCATTTACCCAACACTTTGGCACACCTCAATCGTTCATTCTTGAACGTTACGACAGATTTCTGGTTCACCTTAATGCTATCCTCCGCCCAACGCACATTCAGTACACTATTGCAGATGCAGTGTACATTCCTTTGATTACCACCACCTATGACTGGAACAACCTCCAAAACCCATTCACCATCACTGACATGAAAGTGGACGAAGATTATGCTTACGCTCTCATGGAAATCATGGAGAAGAGGAACTCTTCCTGGAGGATTGAGAAGCTGAGTTCCGATATCTTTGGAACGCCAGCATGGCTTCTCGATTGGCACCCTGCGAACGAGAATGTAATAACCTTGAAACCACCTGCAGCTTATGCCTGGTTTCCTGATAAATCCAACTTCAACAAGGAGGACCTTATTGCTGCTTACATCATTGGAGAGGCCATTACACCAATACTCGGCCCTGTTGATGCCGACGATTGGCAACTTCTTCTCCCTGACGGGAGAAAACCAGCTGATGTCTTCTGGGCTGAAACCCATCGTGTCGACGCGCGGCGTTTTACAGGGTCCACAGAAGTGAGAGTCTATGACGAGAAGAAATTTGACTTCATTGTCATCCGAACCACTCGGACATCGGGAAGCAAGCGACCAGCGCCGGACATAGCTGGATATATTCTGCCACAATTGAAGGAAACAGTCAGCGAGGCATCATCCTTGGAGAAAGTGGACATGTTTAGGATCCTAGATTATTGTTATTATGCTAGGGTCATATTTAGGACTTCTGCACAAAGCCAACATGTAGCCTTGAAGGCGATGGCTTTTATCTAGACGTCTTGTTAGGTGAAGTATGTGTATGACTCTTGATTACTAATCTACTATGGCCTCGTTTACTAGCCTTGATACGATGGGATAAACCAACCTTATCCCTTGTTCGCTAAACAGGATTGGGATGAGAATACAGATGATGTGGCATAAGTTTGCGCACGCATGTATCCTTGTTGGTGGGATAAAAAAATTCGACCATTGAGGTGTGATAAATTTATCCTTGGTCTCAAATGACCTTGTGTCCAAAAAAAAAATAAAAATTATTTAATTTAAATAATTTTATTTAATTTTTCAATATTAATTTATATAATTTTATTTAATTTAAAAATATTATTTAATCTAAGATAATTTTAATTAATTTAAAATAATATTATTTAATCCATAAAATATTAATTTAAATAGTTTTATTTAATTTAAAATAATATTATTTAATTTATCAAATATTATTTTAAATAATTTTATTTAATTTAAAATATATTGTTTAATATAAAATAATTTTATTTAATTTAAAATATATTGTTTAATATAAAATAATTTTATTTAATTTAAAATAATAATATTTAATTCATAAAATATTAATTTAATTAATTAAATGTAATTTATTGTATTTATCATAGAATTTTATCCACTTTGGTAAACATGGAACAATTTTCAAAGAAATTGTATCCTATTTAGTAAACAAGTGGACCAAACATGAGCCATGAGATAAATTGTCCTATCCCATCTTATCCCAATCAAAGCTAGTAAACGAGGCCTATGTGTTTGTGCCCGTACACAATTTATTCACATATGCCACATAAAACATAATTCAAATAGTGCACAAAGACGAATTAAGTCTAGGTTTTAATACTAGTTGTTGGGTTCTATGAGAAACCTCGTCAATATGAACATTCAATTATATGAAAAAAATCCTTATACAACGGAATTTATAGTTAGGATCAGGACTTACGGTTTAAAAAAATTGTCAATTCTTAGATGACTTACACAACCTATGGGGCTAGATGAACGTTTCTGGAATACGTCGTTGAGTCCACATTCCTTGTTTCTTCTCGACAAGTCTTTGGGTCGCGTTGTCGGGATTGCCAGTTGTGCGCGTTTAGAGTCGTCGCGGGTGTGCGCATTGTGTCGATGCATGTGTGTGCCTCGCGGTGCGTCCCTGTGTGTGCGCTGGCATTGTCCGCATGTGGCTTCATGCGCGTGTGTGTATGTCATGGATTGCGGCTGGCGTAATGTCCTTGCGACGCGTCTGTGGGCGTACGTCGCGCAGAGCTGCGATGGCGTGATTGCGCGGTTGTTGTGGTTGCATTGGCGCTGCGATGCGACGACGACGGTGGTCTAGTGGTTGCGGCTATGGGTGAGCATGAATCGGTATGGTTCAGAGACTGACAAATCTCCAGAACCGTACCGAAATTCGAAGATCACTGAAATTCGATCACCGGAGCCGTACCAAAAAATCGGGACGGTTCAGTTCGGAGATTATTATTTTTCAGTTCGGTTTGGTTAACTATTCGGGACTATCAGAAGATTCGGTTTGGTTAAGTTCCCTTTGTACCTCCGGAGATTTCTAATTATTTTTTAATTTTTTAATGACTACCTAGTTATATTTTAATTTTATATGCTTTATAATAAAATCCAACATTCATCAATAATTTATCATATTAAATTTTTATTTTGAAATCAACTTTAGAAGTAACTCTATATTTTTAGTTAAGACTAAATTTGTGCAACTAACATCGAAAATTTTAAATTTAAAATAATATATTATAGTCTTTTTTCTAATAAAATTTATTTAACCTTTCGTACCATTTTAATTATAAGATTGTAAGTAAAATCTTAATTTTTTTTAAAAAAAATAAAAATCTTTAACCTTTCATACCGTTTTAAATATTTTTTTTTTTTAAAACAGGAAAAATTTAACTATAGATCGAGTATTACTAAGCATGAAATTTAAGTAAAGCTTAACTGTTATTACTATATTTTATTTCCATTTTAAAAATTCTCAATTATATAGGATCAAAGTTGACATAACATGTATTTATAACACACATGTAATGTTATAATTCGATTCTTAATTTCAGTTCTTCGCTTCGATACGGTATGTGACTGTTCAGTTCGGTTCTCGGTACGGATATTTGTAAAATCTCTAAAACCGTACCAATTACTTTTTCAGTTCTTCGGTTTAGAGAAAATCAAACGGTCAACGGTTATTTTTCAGTTCAGAGTGATTTCGGTTGGATTTTCGAAACAGTTCGAAATTCTTCGAGTCCCGTGCTCAGCTTAGTTGCGGCTGGCGGTCGGTACGGTGAATGCGGTGGTCGTCGGTGATCATCCTCTCCAAGTTTGGTGGTGATCGGACAATCTTCGACGATACATATATTCATCGGGATGCTAGAAATGAGACCTGTGTCCATTTGCGGCCATCATGGCCCCCCACGGTCCCATAACTGCCTTGGCCGCTGTCTTCTTCCGTTTTATATATTTTTTCTTTATGTCACGGGCCTTGTCCTACCCTATGTGTGACCAAACTCCCAGCCATCATGGCCACCGGGTCACTGCCTCTGTGGTCTCTTGGCCACCACGGCCGTCTGGCCACCAAAACTTCTGGCCACCACGGTCTCCGAGTCATCATCCTTT